CCCGGCCCTTTCGACTTGCACTGATCACGGTTACTAAAAATGTAACAGTGCATTGATTACAATATTTACCATAGTTTGTAGTCAATTTCAGTGAGTAATACAACTTCATTCGCTGACATAAAACAAGTTTTATTCTTGAAATTCGACCCTGTGTCTTAGTGTTCCCACAGATCTTGACCGAGTGCTCACATTTATTGAAACCTCGCATAAATCAAGAAATAAGTACGTGTACAAAGTGTACGAAAGCATTCCTTTATTTGACCTTATCATACGATCACAAAAACAACTTTTTAAAATCCTTTTTGGGGTGGTCCTCGGGTAAGCGCCCACCCCCTAATTTTTCCCGATTTTGTACGTTCAGGCCCCTGGGCACGTGCCCGGGGTAATACGGTAGCACATTGTGGAACACTTACCGATATGATATGGTCCACATCCCAACACCATTGTGCCATGGTCATTAAACAGCAAGTCATGTTCCTGATTTAAAAAAAACAAAACAGGTTAAATTTGACAGCGATACGATTATAGGCAAAGCTGGATAAGAATAAAGGTTTCATTCAAATGTCATTAGCATACGCGACATATGAGCTGATGTTTGCAGTGAAACTTGATCCGTAGCTACATGAATATGTTTGTACAGGACAATACCATATATACGTATTTGAATTGGTGGCCATTTTGGCAGACACGATATAGAGTGTGACTTGTAGGAAACGCTCAACACAAGCTAATTTTTCAGATCAAATGTTTTGGGCTCAGTCATGTCACAGGCACATAGTGTTTGAAAAGAAAGTACCGTTAAATCTGTCTTAGAATTCGCATCCCTATTAGAAGCTGCATCCATTCCTTTTGAACAATTGAAAACCCTACCTCCCAATACGGTAGGTTGCCAAGGGAAACAGATAATAAGTCAGGATAATTCAGATTTATTATTAATTGTTACTTACCATGCCATTGTATGTACAATAGAGGTAGTTAGTTTTAGCTGGATACTCGGCAGCCATTGTATCAATCTAAAATAAAATGCACATACATCTGTTATTAATACAACGACAATTTAATTCTTAACATTTTTTGGGAGTTTCTGGCGAATTTTGACTGTTGTTCATCAGCCGATACGACCAGGACCATCTAGTCATCCTGGGATCTGGTGGGTCCGCAGGTGGCTAGCGAGGCCTATCTGCATCCGGAAGAGTCTCTGGCAGTGCGGACAAGGGATGGTAGCAGCTGCTACAGGGTTGTTGGTCCTGTTCTTCCTGGCCTGTCTGCGGTCTTCAGCAGCAGCAATCCTGTTGGCCTTGCGTACTTTAGCTCCCGTGAACAGCTGATTTCCATGTTTCTCTGTCTTGGGCCGACTGCTCCCATTTGTCCGTGACTGATGTTAAGCGCTTTCAGTGCGGCTTTTAGTGTGTCTCTGAAACGCTTCTTCAGGCCACCTTGGGAGCGTTTTTCTTGCTGTAGCTCGCCAAACAGGAGTTATTTTGGGAGACGCTCATCTGACATGCGAGCTACATGTCCTGCCCAATTTTGACTATCGTATATGTGTAAGTGGGTGTATGCCTGAATCCAACGAGTCTTGGACGGGCCAAACTTGATTAGTTGCTAATCGCAACTATTTTCGACCCCTATTTCATTTGTATATTTTTGTTTATATATATATTTTGTGTGTTGTTAAGACTTACTTTTTTGTTTGAAATGAACATCTACCTATCTATTTATCTATACTTTCAATAGATTGCAGCAAAGGCGGCTGCTCTGCTAAGTATGACACCTTGGTCCATACTTTGCTATATAGAAGAAATCAAAGCTTATAGGCGAGAGATGAGAATACAAAACATTACCTGTTTCACATAGGGTACTATTCCCTTTGACAGCCTCACTTTCCTGGATTCCGCTTCATTAATGCCTAAAGCAAGACCAATCTGTTTATCAGAGAACCCAGCCTGTTTTGCATCTTGCATGGTCTGCTTTGGAACATTTTGACTACACAGATACAAAGGGTGTTGCAAGTTATTTACTCATGGTTGTATAATGTCAAAATTTAAATAATTTGGCGATGTTTATGTATTTACCATATTATAGCTTATATTGCTGTGGCGTTTTTTTATGATTACAATTGTACAAACCTTGTGTAATCTTCCAAAAGCTTATCTTGTGCAACAATCCTTCGTAATTTGTATAAAAACCATGGATCAATGGCAGTCAGGTCATGAATCTTGTCAACAGAATACCCATCATGCATTGCCTGAAATATTCAATCAAGTACACCAGTTATAATATTTTTTTGTTACAGGGTGGTGTAATGGAAGACAAGCTCTTGCAGCATTCACAAAATAGTCCTGTTTATAGTCTGCACTTTCCTTAGGAAGATTAAGGCAAAAATAATAAAAAAATTTGAGTAAAAACTGAAAATTGACTCAAATTTTGTCTGTTGGCCCCGAAATTAGGGATCATTTCCAAAATATTGAAGAATATAAGAAAAAAGTGCAGAAAAATTTGGGTGAGAAAGTCTGGAGGTGAAAAGGTTAAGATAGAGAAGATGTGTCATTTCATTCTTGCGAACACAGATTAACATTTCAATAATATTTCCAATGGCAAAAATGTTGAATATTAATGTATTAATATTATGCACATTGTAGATGTTACATAATTAGATTATGGTGTAACTACCTTGCATATGGAATGAATCCTTGTACTTGAGGCAACTTTAATTTCAGATTCCAGGTTGTCAGGGTATGGCTTACCCATCGGCATTCTGGGAACAAAACCATCAATAGATGGATGGATCATACGTAATGCTTTTTGTAAACTTTCTTCAAATGTTCTACCAATGGCCATCACCTTAAAATTGGAAAATATGTATTATTAAATTATAACAGTTACTACGGCAACAATAATACACTATAAAAGTATGTATGTTTTTACAAATCTGTAAAATGTAAATATCAAATAAATTTAAGTTGGCAAATGAATATAATGGTTTAAATAAATCTACCCTTGTCAGAACTATGCATATGCAAATATACATTTCTATTACTATAATTCTGTTTTCCGATTGGTCTGTTCGTATATTGTGCAAAATACACAGTTCAAATCAAACATTGCTCATGACTGAGACTCACAAAAACCTTTAATTATGATCAGGCAAGACACAATCGTTTAAAATTGCAAGCTTGTCTGTAAATGTGCAATATGGCTTTTAGTGTATCTCTATAAAAAGCGACCACTCTGACTACAAAACAATTTGTTTTGTACTGTTGTAACGATAGTGTTACATTTACATTAATTATATTTACAATAACCCCTGAAAAACAAAATAGAATGTGTAATATTTATGGATCTTCTGTATAGAACAGTAGCCTATTAGAATCAAATCACAAGTTGATGTGTAACCATGGTAACTTTACCTCTCCAACACTCTTCATGGCACTACCGATTTCTTTTGATGCACCTTGGAAACGATCCAGATCCCATCGTGGAATCTTAGTAACAATGTAATCTAAACTTGGTTCAAAACATGCGGTAGTTGATTGAGTTGTGGCATTTTCGATGTCAGGCAAGAGAACCCCTAACCCTAACTTGGCAGCAATGAAAGCAAGTGGATATCTGAGAAAAGAAAGATGAAATGGGTTAATTTTATTTGTAGAAATCCATTTTGTGAAGAGTGGCACATATTCACTGACTTACAAAAAGGAACAGTACATGAAATCAACAGATTGTATCATCCCTATCTCGTACTATGCCAAACACCAGGCAGAATGTAGTATTATTCCGTTTAAAGCTTTGAATTCTCAAATGAACTTAAATACTCGGGAAAATGCTGTAATTGTAACTTACCCAGTAGCTTTAGAAGCTAAAGCAGAACTTCGAGACAGACGAGCATTGACTTCTATAATACAATATTCTAATGATTTAGGATGCAATGCGTACTGTATATTGCACTCTCCGATAATTCCAAGATGGCGGACAACTTTAATGGCAGTTTCTCTCAACATATGGTACTCTTCGTTGCTAAGGGTTTGACTTGGTGCTACGACAATGGAATCACCTAAAATACAGACAGCATATTTAGTTCACGACAGTGTGTTTAAATACTTTTAATCTTTTCCCCATCACTGTCTTTAGTTTGGTATAATTTCACATATTTTTGATGAGTTGAATTGTAAATTATAGGAAAAAAGGTATTTTCGCTAGATTTTATTTTCACTGAATCATTCCTTCATCGAAAATAGCAAAGATTAACTCCAAGCGAAAAAGAAGTATTACATAGTATAGTCCTCCTGTTTGAACTATTCTTATTTCAATAGACCATTTCCTGATTATTGCAAGATCCCATGTTGTGCATGAAATTGAACATAAAAACAGGACAAACAAAGGTCATAGCATCATAGTGACATCAAACCATTACTTGGGAGTATCTCAAGGCAAAATTTTTTTCTAATATTAAATTAACATTACGATACCTGTATGAATACCCAGAGGATCAAAGTTTTCCATATTACAAACTGTAACACAGTTATCTGCTGCGTCCCGAACGACCTCGTATTCAACTTCTTTCCACCCTAATAAAGACTTCTCAATTAAAACTTGAGTTGTCATAGCAAAGGCCTGAAAAATAATACAAAAAAAACCCATAATTTATGTATAAAAATTAATAAAACATTTCCAGACATGTATATAGAAGAAATCCAAATGGTTCGCAGGAATCAGTAATTCATGAATCAATGAAATTGTAGATCGATCATTTGAAAACCTCTCAATTACATTTGATTTGTGATTCATATTTTATTGTCCAATATGTGAAATATATTGATGATATCAATGTAAATGAGAGAAATTTTAGTCAGTGAAAATCGCATAATATAAAACATAATTACATTGGTGACAATCTTATTGAGTTCTTCTCTATTATTTGCTAGACCGGAACCAAGACCTCCTAAAGCATACGCAGCTCGCACCATGACAGGGTAACCGATTTCTACTGCTGCATTCAGAGCATCTTTAACCTGAGAAGAAATGAAATATTATAAAGCTTGCAAACAAAAATTTCCTAGTTCTGTAAAATGCTGTATTTGTATTTGTTCAAATTATAAGGATGCTGAAATTATGTCCGTTTAA